TCAGGTGGCAGCTGAGGGACGCTCTAGCACCCGTCACTCTGCTCCGGGGCTTGGCTTGCAGCTGCCTCCCGCCTGAGCCCGGACGCGGCCTTGCCCTTCGGGGTGTGGAACTTGCTCCGCTGACTGTACAGCAGGTTTCTCTGGAAGAGCCTGGGGATGTGCCCCTGGTACAGGAGCAGGGCTGCGAGCATCCCTGGAAGCAGAAACAGGGATTAGGCCTCGTCACTGACCATCCGGCCCCTCACCACCCAGTCTCCCCTCGCCAGCAGCCAGACGGCACCTTCAGGCTTCGGCCCGGGACTGCCCAAAGCCGCGGGATCCTGCGCCCGTGTGGTGAAAGCGCCCCAGGAGGTGCGACCCCCCCCATGCCTCAGGCTTTGCCAGTGTCCCACCAAGGCCAGGGTGTGGCTAACAACGTCTTGCAGCTCCGACTGGCTGAGGCAGAGCAGGGTGGGGAAAGGGCAGGGCGCACCAGGCCTCCCCCCAAAATAAGTAAGAGCCCCCAGAGTTGCCAGTTTCCATGCTCAAAACGTGTCCCTTCCCTGCAGGCTGACAGACACGGAAGACATACTAGGAAGGCTTCACCCCAGCCACAGCCTCTGCCCGTCTCGGCTGCGGCCCAGCCTGGCCAGCCAGCAATAGCTCCGGCACCGAGCGCTCCCCTGGACACAGCTCACCTGCCAGGGGCCCCAAGCAGTAAACCTGGATGTACTCGCGCAGGAGGCTCCCGGAGCAGCTGGAGGTGGCCGTGGAGGCCAGGCTGGGGTTGAAAAAGGCTCCCGTGAGCGGCCCGGCTGCGAAAGAGGAAAACAAAGAGCCTGACGGGTTGCGTGTCTGACGGGATCGGACACCGGGTGCTGGGCAGCCGGCAGGACAAGGGACGTTCTTGGTATGTGAAGGCTCTGAGAAAGCGGAGTCCGGTCAGAGCGCTCGTAACTCGACCGGCACACGCCGGCTTCCACGCCAGACACCCGGCCCACCACCTCCGCACTGCGCCCTGTGACCTCCGAGACTGACACCGCTCAGCCACAGCCCTGCTGGGACAGCCGGACCCTCACGCCCATGGGGGCTAGTGCGGCAGAACAGACGTGACTGAGGCAGGGGCCAACGGCGACAAGCGAGTAGCGAAGGGCTGACCTGGCTGTAACAGCCACCTAGCACTGGAAGGTGAAATGATGGGGTTCCAGGTGTGCTAATCCTACTGTCTTGTCAAGGGAATGCGTAGGTTCAGGTATCGCGTACCGCCGGCCTAGCAGCTGAGGGAGAGGGATGGTGAAGAGGTGACTCGGGACAGTCTACGAGAAGTGCCGTGGGGAAGAGATTTCTGACAGGAAACAGTTTTCAGTCGATGGGACCAATGCTGGGAACTGAAACGAGGCCCATTCAGACCAGACGTACAGGGCTTTAGAGAAACTACGCTGCAGGCAAAGGCCACTGGAACTGACTCGCCTGGAGACGCAGTGGATTCTCTGAGACTTGGTTATTTCCCGCCATGGGACAGACAGAACTCCTGAGCAAAACCCTTCGGCTGTATCGCACAGGTCTGGCGAAATGGTCACCGCAGGCCCTGCTGGCCTCAACATCTGCCAGCCCCTGAATTACCAGCCCTGTAGATGTAGCGTGTATAGACAGGGCTTACTCTGGGCTGGGACTTGGCAGGGCCAAGCCCTGGTGCCTCCCGGCTTGACATCCTGTTACTGAAGTAAAAACCCTGCTTGAACCCAGCCCCTCTTCCAGCGACAGTTACGCTCGGTGTAAGTATCTGGGGAGGAGAGCAGGGCCAAGATTAATCACAGAGTCCTAGAACCCCAGGGCTGGCAGAGACCTCGGGAGGCACCGAGTCCAGCCCCCTGCCCAAGGCAGGACCAACCTGACTCAATCACCCCAGGCAGGGCTTTGTCAAGCCAGGACTTACACACCTCTAGGAATGGAGATTCCCCGCCCCCGCCACTTGAGCCCATTGCTCCTTGTTCCCCCCCCCCAAGAACAGCCTCTCTCCAGCCTCTTTGGAACCTCCCGCCCCCTTGCTCTCCAATCCCTATGACCCACTGCAGTGGGCTCGTGTGGCCACCCACTGACCTGAGGCCTTCCCTGAGCCGTGATGGGCAGCACCTGATGTAAGTGAGGCAGCTGGGAAGGAGACAGGCGTCTCTATCTGTTTACTGACGGCAGCCCTTGCACTGTGTTAAGGGCCGGGCTGTTGACTGGTTAATGAGGCAGCCTACTTTGTGTCTGGGCTCCTTGTTAACTGGCTGCCTGCTGGAGCCTTCACCCTGCATGAGGGCTGGGGGTTCTAGACTGCTGGGGGAATAGCTCCCCCTTGAACCGGCCTGGGACAGAATAGTGGGTCCATGTGGCCACCCACTGACCCCGAAGGGGACACTCCTCATCCCCCAGGATGCTCCGCACCGGGTTACCCCCACCATACCCTGGGGCATGCTCTGTGACACCATGTTCCTCACTCTACAGAGCACGGACCTTACACAGGCAGCAGGCCCGGTGAGGTATGAACTGCTGAAACCCACGGTTCTCAGTGTCTGCCATCGCAGCCTGTGAGGCTCTGAGACGGTGCCATGCGGTTGTCACTAAAACGTGTGGTAAGTTGGGGAATCAGACAGCAGCAAGAAGAGTAACCAAGGCCAGGACATGCAGAGTATGAACCGGAACATCACTGGCTTGGAGCGAACCCCATGTAGCTAGAGGCTCCTGAGCCAGAAAGCTATTCATGAGCTCCCCGGGTTCCGCAGGCGGCTGTTACAGGGAGAAGGAGGGAGAAATCTGACCTGTGTACACCAGGGCGGTCACAGTCCCGGCCAGGACGGGCACTCTGTACAGAGGGTGGCTGTGCTGGAACTTGAGCCCCACCAGGTGGAAGAAGAAAGAGCCAAGACCTTCCACAAAGGTGCCGTGGGGCAAAGAGGTGTGGAGAGAGGAGCTGCAGTCCTGGGCCATGAGGTTCTGGATGAGGTGGAAGTCAGTCAGCTCCCAGGACCAGTAGTGCGCGGTGAGTATCCCAGCTGCCTCCACTCCCGCAAACTGGGCCAGAAGCTTGACAGCAGTAGCCCCCAAGGAGGAATCCATGAGCAGGAATTCTTGGAGAGACACAGTGGGGTTAGCAGAGGCGCCGTCAAAAGATACACCATGAGCCACGTAGAGAAGGAAGAGGAGGGTCAAGGTCACATCTGGGCCAAAGCCGCCACCCCAAGGACCAAACTCCATCAGCATCCTCAGCTCAAGGTAGCAAGCACACATCTGCAATGAGCTGACAAGTTCTCTGACAAGACCATGGTACACGCCGAGAGGCAGAAGTCTCTTGGAAACCCGCCTGGCCGCCTCACAAATAGCCACAATGGAGAGCAGGAAAGCAATGGAAACATTCAAACCTGCCATAACTACAGAGACGGCAACAGCACAAGTGTCGCCAGCCAAGGAACGGCCCAGCCTTCTCCTCCTCCTTATAAAGGCCCCTTTAAGCCAACGTGGCCCAGCCTGACAGGCCTGCAGCCAGCAGGGTCAAGCAAGTCCTTGGGAAACTCCACACATGCAGCTCCGCAAGCCGTCACGGAGCTGACAGCGGTCCCCTCCCTGCAGCAGCGCTAACACAGGCTGCTCTCCTCCACGGCCGGAGGTTGGCTCCCCATGTGCCCTGCTCCTGCCCAGCGTTAGGGTCTGAGAGGCTGTCAGCACCTCTGGTTGGTTTTTCCCAGCCCTGCGGGTCGCTGCACGACCGGGGCAGAGCACAGCAGCCGGTCTTTGCTCGGGTGGGCAGAGTTCTTGGGCCACTTCTGTTTGCACCTGAGGGGTTGGTTATCACTAAGCACCTTGCTGGTTTTACGCTGTCGCTACAGGGAGCTGGTAGCAATGGCTCCGTGCAGCAAACAAGGCGGGGACGGCTCGGAAAGGCAACGCCGAGATCCAGTAGTGCCCGGGGGCTCAGACAGCCATCTCCCCATAGCCGGGCAGGCCAGGCAACGAGCTCTCCCCCTCTGGGGCTCTGCCATACAACCACTCTGCAGGTCTGAGGAGCAAGGGTTCGCCTCAGAGCCAGAGTGGCATATTCACCAGGGCAGGACACACTAGTGCCCGTTCACCTTTCACTGCCCTCGTGCCAAGCACCTTGGTTTCAACTGGAACCTCCCATTGAAAGGGGCCGCTGGCAGCCCAAGGCTCCGCGTGGCTCCCAGAAGCAGGGGCCTGTCGGGGCAGCAAGGGGGCTCCCAGCACTGCTGTCCCACCCCCCAGGGAGGGATATATCATAGGAGACAAGCTCCCAGGCACGTCTCCAGCTCACTACCCCAGGTGCCTGCTGTATTGGAATCTCGTCTCCGGGGCAGCAGTGCAGGTGTCATGCTTAGCCAAGTACCCGGTCCCTCAACCAGACACTCCCCCTTCTTCGCAAGGGTCTCATGGCGCACGCCACAGCTCCTGTACCAAGAAAGAAGCTCCCCCCACTGTGGTACTCGTTCATTTTTATTCCCCCTTCGTACAACAGACAAAACCAGCCCCAGGGAAGAGAGGTTCTGAACAAACTTGGTGCTGCCGTGTAGGCGTTTTACACAGCTCAAACAGTGCCTGGCACTTGGCCTGCTTCCAGAGCACTCCAGGCCACGAAGACAGCATAGGTACATTTGAAGCCGGTCACAGAACCCTTCCACCCCACCACCCACATGCGTGTTTTCATGCGGAAAGGGAAGACCGGCTCTGTTCAGCGAAGGCACAAGTCCATGGGGATGATGACAAACAGTCCCCTGGGGTTTCCTCTCCCCATGTGTTTACGGACAGGCCTATGTCCCTAGTTCCGCCTTTGCTGCGGAAACGGGCATGTGTTCTACCAGCCGCTCCCCCTCATGTCTGTTAAATACTCAGGCACCTGTCGAGGCAGCAGCATGGGGCTCTGGCGTTGGAAATTCTTATGTTCCAGCAGCGTGATCTGCCAGCCCTGAGGGCAGGAACAGCCAGCTGCTGGGGCCTCCTATACTGGTCCCAGGCATGAGCATTTCAAGCTCACAATGTTGCAGCCTGGAAGATCTCCAGCTGACCGGTTAAAAGGCCTCCGAGGTGGCACAAAAGGCTGTCAGGGCAGGGGGCGGCTCAGGCTGGAGTAACGCCCCACACGTCAAACCTCGCAGGTCTAATTCAGGGAAAACTCCTTTTGGGAGTCAGCAGGCGCTCGCCGTGGGCGAGGGCGGCAGAGGATCTGGGCTTTCCCACAAAGGGCAGGTAGCGGCGATTGAAAGAGTTTGGACAGACACAATAGCTTGGTCCTTGGCTCACAGAGATGCTGGTGACTGCACTACTGATTCAGCCCATCGAGCGCAGGCAATTCACATCCCCTGAACAGATGTTCCCGTATGGCCACACTTCTCGTTCGGACTCAGCAGCTAGTGACCCCCAAACCTGCCCTTGCCAATTAACTCAACTTCTTTGCTGCAGAAAAGCCACTTCCTCAGGAGCAGGAGGCAGTGGGCAAGCCAGAGCAGCCACGCAGCGTGCGTGGATGTGGGCTCCACAATGACAGGCTGGGCTTCGTGTTCCTGACGTGGTTGTGCGCAGGCTAGAGAATTTTACCATTCCAAGAACCCCTTGATTGTGCTGACAGACACCCCGCTCAGCCTACACCAGGCACTGTGGAGCTCAGACTGGACCAGGGTTATTTGTGGTAGGACAGTGGTCCCCAACCTTCAGAGGCTCCCGGGAGGTGGGGCCACTCACGCGCCGGGCGCCCGGGAGGTGGGGCCACTCGTCCGGGGCAGGCTAGAGAATTTTACCATTCCAAGAACCCCTTGATTGTGCTGACAGACACCCCGCTCAGCCTACACCAGGCACTGTGGAGCTCAGACTGGACCAGGGTTATTTGTGGTAGGACAGTGGTCCCCAACCTTCAGAGGCTCCCGGGAGGTGGGGCCACTCACGCGCCGGGCGCCCGGGAGGTGGGGCCACTCGTCCGGGAGCACGCTAGGGGACTGGGATGCCCTTGCACCCGGCGCGTGCCCTAGGGCTGGGGCTGGGTCCGCCCGAGT